ACAGGTAGGGCTTTGGAGCTCACAAACTGAGGTTGACCAGCCCCTCAGCCTGTCTGGAATGGACAGGTGTTACACCAAGCACAGTTTGCTCACGTTGGGTTGGCACCAATGACAAGACAGGCCATTATGTAAATGAAGAACCGAGTTTGCACCAATCACTGGACAGTCTGTTATGCAAATGAAGGATCTGGTTTGTACTAATCACAGGGCTCACCTCTTGGTCCAAGTACTTCCTCTCCTCCCCACCACCCCCCAGCTCGGGGGAAGTGTCTGTTTATGGTTTGGTTTGGCAGTTGGTCATCGGTTTGGCCAAAACACCTTCAGAAGGGTGCTTTGCACAAGGGCTTATGTAACAGTACTGCCCTGACTTCTACCCCAGTGTTGCAGGAGGAACAGATGGGCCCGAGTAGAAGGGAGTTAGGCCACGGGCAGGACTTTGGCTGCTCCTCGGCGCCAAAGGAACCAGTTTACCACGGGCCGTGGTTCACGTGGTGGAGCACCAGCAGCCAATGAGAGCACCCGGCCGCATTCAAGGCCCAATGCCGGCACTGAAAGAAAACTGGTTACCACGGGTACTTTGTCATCGGTCACACAAAGCTGACACAATGAGGATTTCACCGGCAAAGCATTGTAGGAGCTGGATAACTGATAGAATGAGAGAATGAACGAGAAGAGGTGCGAAGGCGCTTCTGAAGGACGCGGAGACGGCGATGGCCCAGGGCCAGGCCCACAGGCCGCCACCCGCGGCCGGAGACTACAGTTTAAACCTCCGCCGGCTCCTTTAGAGGGCGTGGCCACGAGGCCGTCAACGGACCAATCACCACTTAAAGGGGAGGGGCTATTGTACGTGTCCGCTCCTCTCTTTGGAAAGTACGTCCATTTGGGCGCCTTTCAAAGGGACCAATGAGCGCTCGAGGTTCCTGCGGCTGGACCTCGCCGATTGGCTGACGGTCATCGTCCCGCCCTGCCTAGGTCGCCTCTTGCCCACCCCTCCGCGCACAAGATGGCGGCGCCCAGCGGAGTTGAGGCCGAGGTCGGGCCTTGCTGAAGCTGACTCTGTTTCCCACTCCTCCGGTGGGCGTCGAGCGCCGCGAGCAGGAGGACGGGGGCCGGGCGGGGCCGGGGGCACCTGCGTCGCTGGACCGCGAACTCGCGGCCGGCCCGCGCCGCCCCCACCCGGCCCCGGCCCCGGCCCCGGCCCCGGCCCGGCCTGGTCCCAGCCTGTCGGTCCTCGGTTCCTCCAGGTCTGACCGGTTGCCCGGCCGTGGTTCGCCGCCCTGGGCCTCCAAAGCGGAGATCTGCCGTGCAGCCCGGGTTCGCCTTCTCTTCAGAGATGCTGGGCCTCTTCCGAACTGGCCCAGCCTCCAAACAGGGACCCTTGGAGTGGCACCTGGCCCCCTCTCCCTCCGACCCACTCCTTCCTTAGACTGCGGTTCCCTTCCAGGTTAACCCCCGACTCCCCACAATATTGACAACGCCCTCCCCGAGAAGCCAGCTTTCCTTCCGGACTACGCTCGACTCGTCCTGATCATGGAGGCTGTGTACCTCGTAGTGAATGGGGTGGGCCTGGTGCTGGACGTGTTGACCTTGGTGTTGGATCTCAACTTCCTGCTGGTGTCCTCCCTCCTGGCTTCCCTGGCCTGGCTCCTTGCCTTCATCTACAACCTGCCACACACGGTACTGACGAGTCTTCTGCACTTGGGCCGAGGTGTCCTGCTTTCACTGCTGGCCTTGATCGAAGTCTTGGTCCGGTTCATCTTTGGGGGCTTACAGGCTTTGGGTACCCTGCTTTATAGCTGCTGCTCTGGGCTGGAGAGCCTAAAGCTCCTAGGACACCTGGCCTCTCATGGGGCGCTACGGAGCCGGGAGATCCTGCACCGGGGTGTGCTCAACGTCATCTCCAATGGCCACGCTTTGCTGCGCCAGGCCTGTGACATCTGTGGCATTGCCATGAGCCTGGTGGCTTACGTGGTCAACAGCCTGGTTAATATTTGCCTCATTGGCACACAGAACCTTTTCTCCCTGGTGCTGGCCCTGTGGGATGCCGTGACAGGGCCTCTGTGGAGGATGACAGACGTGATGGCCGCTTTCCTGTCCCACATTTCCAGCAGTGCTGTGGCCATGGCCATCCTCCTTTGGACCCCCTGCCAACTAGCCCTGGAGCTGCTGGCCTCAGCCGCCCGCCTCCTGGCCAGCTTTGTGCTTGTCAATCTCACTGGTTTGGTGTTGCTGGCTTGCGTGCTGGCAGTGACTGTGACTGTGTTGCATCCGGACCTCATCTTGAGGCTGGCCACCCGAGCACTCAGCCAGCTTCACACTCGCCCATCCTACCACCGGCTCCGAGAGGATGTCCTTCGGCTGTCTCGCCTAGCACTTGGTGTGGAGGCCTGGCACCGTATTTGGAGCCGTAGCCTACAACTGGCAAGCTGGCCGAACCGGGGAGGGGCACCAGGAGCCCCCCTGAGTGGCCCTAGGAGAGTGTTCCCCACCAGGACCCAGGATCAGGACACACCTCCTGAAGTGGGGCCCAGAGCTGATGCAGAAGAGGAGGAGGTCAGCACCATCAGAAATCCACCTGCACGGGGCCGGCAGAGACTCAATGAGGAGGGACCCACGGCTGGACAAGACCCATGGAAGTTGCTGAAGGAGCAAGAGGAGCGGAAAAAGTGTGTCATCTGCCAGGACCAGAGCAAGACTGTGCTGCTCCTGCCTTGCCGGCACCTTTGCCTGTGCCAGGCTTGCACTGAAATCCTGATGCGCCACCCCGTCTACCACCGCAACTGCCCGCTCTGCCGCCGCGGCATCCTGCAGACCCTCAATGTCTACCTCTGAAAACCACTCTGCCTACCCACCCTCCACGCTCCTCGCAGACCCTCCCACGGAAACCTCCAGGTTATGGCCTGATCACCTATGTCGCTATGGCTTCCCTGTAAAGCATCAAGCCATACATCTGTGGAGATGGGATACACTGGAAAACGGTGATCTGGGTGGGGCAGGCTAGCATAGCTTTGCTGAGCCCCGTGGGTCCCTTAATCCTGAGGGTGGTGAGTATTTCACTATGCAAGGGTTCTGAGACTGTCCCCAGTGGCCTCTCCTCAAGTCTGCCCAGGGCCCACTCAGATGTCAGCTTCTGGGGCTATCCTTCGCTTCCTGTTCGTTTTTTCTGTTGGTGATTTACAATTCTTTACCTGCCACTTTGCTCCTAGCTTCTGCAGCCACAACACATCAGTGTCATTTGTGTATTTTGATAACTTAAGGGCCTTGGGATGGTCTTGAACTTTGGTGTTCAGCCAGTATCCCTGTGTCCTGCTAGGTTTGGGGGTAGACTCAGGTGCTCTGAGAGCTGCTTCTGCCTGTCACGATCTGATGAGACTCCCTCCAAACTCAATCCAAAAGCTGGGATCAATTTTCATTTATGGGGTGTGTGTGTGTGTGTGTGTGTGTGTGTGTACCTGGCTTTGGGACCATATGCCCTGGGGCTCCCTAGCTCCACAGGGAACCTCAGGAGGAAAAACCAAATTTCTACTCATTCCCTCACTCCCCACATGGCATAGAAAAATGGCATTTCTCTTTGTCTCTCCCTGTTAGTGGGGAGGGCAGACTGTGCACATTTCATTGGGTCCAAACAGAAGGGGCCAGTTTCTGATGAATAAAGTTCTATTGACAGCTCTAACGCCTCAGCATCCATCCCTGCAAAGGTGAGCAGCGTCTGGGTGACAGATGCTGCAGCAGGGTCTCACATCCGTTGTGTCTGAAGAACCAGGCCGTAGAACTGGGGGTGGGGAAATGAGGTAGAGTGGCAGGGCTGTGGCAGGGAAAAGCCTATGCCAGGCATGACCGGCTTAGTGCTAACTCTTTCTGATTTGTTCTTTGTGTTGCACACATGGGTCTGGACAGGCCTCCCTTATGTCTTCCATTTTTGCCAGAGTCAATCCCTCAAGGAGCCAAAGGTGAACTTACCCGTTGAATCAGTCTTCCCAGGAGAGGACTTGGGATCTCTGCAGAACTGGTGCGTGTCTCTGTGTCTCTTGGCTGAGAGCCTGCTGCAGTGATGGGCTGGACTGTGGCGGTGGGACCTCCTAGTGGAGGCAGGGAGCTGGAGCCTGAGAGGCCTGCGGCCTGTCTCCAGTGCACTTGGGCCCCAGCCCCCTTAGATTGTAGCTGCCCTCCAATGACCAGCAGCACCCCCCGCCCCATAATTGTATGTTATGTCTAGGAGTGTAATGCCTTCTGGAAGGGGGAGGAGATGAGTGGGGCCTGCAGAAGCTGAGGAGAGCCCCGCCAAGGCTGAGAGGCTGCGCACACCACCAGCAAGTTTGTTAGTCTTTAAATTGACTAACTTGTCCCAGGCTAGACCCTGAAGATCACAGGAGGTGAACCTCTGGGGCGCTTTGGGGCTAGCCTTAGACTTCAAGGCTTGGCCCACCCGGGCTGTGTGCAGCACCTTGGGGGAGAGTTCCCCACCTCCACCTCAGCTGGGAGGCCTGAGGCAGCATTGGGCTTTTGTTTCCCTCCCCCCATTCCTGGACAGGGGCCTGAGCAAGGGGAGGCTCGGCTCCTTCCAGTCTCTGTTTAATGTAGGAATAAACATTTTATCAGGGAAGATAAACTTCCTGAGCCAGGAGCAGAAGACCCCCCCCCCCCCTTTTCTTGCTCTCCCTCATCTGGAATTCTTTGGCAGCCCCGAGTACCCTTCCTCCACATAATCACCCTTAAGAACTTGAAGGCTTAAGCAGAGAGCAGTTGCTGCGGCGCACCCCCTGGTGGTCATCCCAGAGACTACTCAGCGTTTCCAGTCACCCAGGGACCAGGCCGAGCCTGCTACTCGCGGTGAAGGCAGCCCCCACCTGGTTTGGCATCCTTTAGAAAAAGGCACCTTTTTCTCCATATGACCAGAGGCCCACACCAGACCCCTGCCCTCCCCCCAGGACATGGCGCTCAGAGGCAGGGCACCCCCACTACTGCAGAAAGGCGGACACCAGCAGCAGGAAGGGTTTAAAGTTTATTGAGTGACCTCTGAGAGAAGGGCCGGCCCTGCGAGCACAAGGGACAGGGGAGGCTCAGAGAGGCAGGAAGAGAGCATCCCACTTCAGGGTTCTGGGCCAGAGAAATCGAGGGGGGGCAGGGGACCTACATTTGCCAACGCAGCACATTGCTTTGGTCTCGGGCAGAAATCCAGCCACTGCCCCGTGCTGCCTCCCGGTCTCCCCGGTCTCCTCCGTCTCCATCCTTGCGGCCGCAGGGCGGCATGGGCAGGGTCCCAGGGGGTCCGGCCCTCCCGGGCGCAGGGCGGGCGCAGGGCCGCAGCGCCGCCCTCCCCGGCGGGGCCTACGCGAAGACCGGGGAGCCGTGCCAGTCGGAGTAGACCAGAAACCCCGAGAAGGTGCTGTCGGTCTTGACGCTGGCGTAGATGCCGATGTAGTCCCCCACGCCCACCTGCACCCACACCTGGTCCTCGGGCTCCAGCCGCACCATGGCGCCGCCCGAGAGCGAGGCCGGCTTGGGCCACCCCCCGAAAAACTGGAAGAAAGAGGCGATGGACTCGCCGTTCTTGACCAGGTCGAACTGCAGGCTGGCCCGGTAGACGGTGGCGTGCACGGCGAAGTAGTAGACCCCGGGCACCTGGCAGGTGAACTTGCCGCTGGCGGCGTCGTAGTGGCCCTGCTCGTTGAGCAGCACGCGGTCGAAGGGCAGCGGCGCGTCGGCGGGCGGCGGCTCCCGGCTCTCGGAGCGCTTGGCGCTGAAGGCCGAGCGCGGGGGCACCGCGCACTCGCCCGCAGGCCCCGCGGCCCCCGCGGGGCCCGCTTCTCCTCGAGGCCCGGGCTCCCCACGCGGCCCCGGCAGCCCTGCGGGGGGAAGAGGAGGTGCAGGGAGGGCGGCGGCAGGGGCGCCTCCCCTCTGCTGTCCCCCCCAGCCCTCCACCCGACCCCCGCGTCCCGCCCCTGGCTCCGTCCCGTCCCGTTCCTGCGGGGCTCCCGCCCGCCGATCTGAAGAGCTCCCACAGGCTGACTCACGCCCGCCCCGCCCCCCGCGCCCCCGCGCCCCCCGGCGGGACCCGGGCCCGGTGCCGTCTTACCCGGCCTCCCGCCCTCGCCTCTCTCGCCCGGCGCTCCGGGCGCACCGTCGCGGCCGTCGCGGCCGTCGCGGCCGGGCAGGCCCTGGCCGCCATGCTGGCCCGGGGTGCCGGGCAGGCCGGGGTGGCCCGGGCACAGGCTGGGGATCTTGTTGTTGTCCAGCGGGGACGAGCCGGACGCCAGGTCCAGGAGCAGCAGGGCGAGGAGCGGCCTCATGGTGCTGGAGCCCGGGGCCCGGACGCTGGGGTCCTCCGGCGATCTGGGGGCCGGGCAGCGGTGGAGTCGGGGGCGAGGGGGGGGCCGGAACCCCAGGACCGGCACAGCCGGGACCCACCCCACCACCATGTACCCGAAGCTGGGCGGCCATGCGAGGGGGACGGGACCCCCACGTCCGGGGAGGGGTCGGCGGCGCCCCCCCCGCGCCCCTCCCCCGTCGCCCTCCCCCCAGGCTTCCCCGCAGGCCACCCCCCCCCCCGTCTAGACTCACCCCTCCCGACGCCCCCTGGCTGTCGGTCGGCTTTGGGGGCGCTCACTGCCGCGCCGGACCCTCGGGCCGGCCCCACTCCCGCCCCTGCCCCTGCCCCTGCGGTCCCCGGCCCTGGTTCGCGCCCCGCTCCGCTCCGGCCGCTCCGCGCTGCCCCTCCCAGACTCCGAGAGGAAACCAGTTGTTCCCAGGCCAAGAGCTCTGGGCAGGGAAATAGCAGGGAAATAACTCGTGGTGTCGCCCGGCGGCCGGCCAAAGTGTGGGGGGAGAGGAGGAGGAGGGAGCCGGAGCCCGCGCAGAACAGCCGCGAGACACGCGGGCTCCTCCGGAGACCTGGGGCAGCTGAAGCCGCGGGGGAAGGGGCCAGCGGCCCGCGGGACCGGAGGACAGACAGGCCTGCCACGCTCGGGCCCTCGAACAGAGCTGTTGACTAAAAGGAAAGAGCGGAGGAGCAGGTGAGAAGGGATTGGAAGCAGCAGATGGAAAGTTGGATGCAGAAGATAGGAAATCCAGGTCAGGGCCTCGGCTGGGAGCCATCTAGATTGTCCAGTGGCTCAGAGGGGAGCAGGGGAGTAGAGGGACAAGGGAGGAAGCAGGGAAACTGGGGGGCTGGGGCAGGAACCCCATGAGCCCCCGATTGGGCCCTGAGGGGGGGCATGGGCAGAACTCCATGCAAAGGTCCCCTCTTGTGTCTCCCTCCTGCCACCCACAAAGGCAGAGGAGAGCAGGCCGGCAAAGGGGCAGGGGCTGGCTTTGGGGTCAGGGCTGGGCACAAGCCTCCATGCCAGCTGCTGCCGGCAGCCTGTTACAGTTGAAGGGCCAGGGGGTGCCCAGCAGCGCCAGGCTAGACTGGCACTGGTGCTCTGCCTCCTGGCAGACGGAGCGGCAAGGAGGAAGGATGCGGCCTAGGGGTGTGCAGCGGGGCACAAGCAGCCCGCACAGGAGCCTCCGAAAGTTCTGGTAACAAGGAAGACTGGTCAGGCTCTGTGGGAAGAAGAGAGCCATCCTCAGCGATTTGTTCCCCAGGCTCCCTCCCCTTCTTGGAGCCCAGGACCTCCGCTGGCCTCTGCCCCGCACCTTGTAGCCTCTGAGCACCTCTACCACCTCCTCCTGGGTGGCCATGCCCACCCAGATGTTAGGGAAGGCCGTGGTGTTGTAGCTGAGCCCGAGACACATCTCCACCTGGACAGGTTCGCAGGCTAGCTCTGTAGGGGAGAGGAAGGTCACTGTGGGCTCCTGGTTTCAGGTGTGTCAGATGGGGTTGCGAGGTGGGAGGAGCTAACATGGAGAACTGTTACTGGAGAGCCAGCTCCAAGGGTGCTGTCACCCTGGGCATTGTGCAGACCCCTCCCTGTCCAGGGAAGGTGGCCCCTCAAAGGGGCCAGGGCCTGCCCTGTGCAAAAAGCTCCCCTAAGTCTGAAGCGGGCTGTGAAGAAGGACTGTCTGAGACAAGATAGCTGACATTGTTCCCAGGGTTGCCACGTCCCTTTGGGGTGACACTCCCCAGCGGGGGGCCCAGCCCCTCTCAGACAGGAGGTGTGTGGGGACATAGGCTGTGGGGTTTCTCTGAGTGGGGTGCCCTGCTGACCAGGGCACACGGGGCGGCTCCTCACCTGGGGGCGGGAGGGAGGGGCTGCTGCAGTTGGTGGCCGCTTCTCCTGTGCAGTCTCTCCACAAGCCACACGCCAGCCGCAGGGCTCCACAGCCTCCATCCTGGCAGAGCTCCCCCGGCCCACAGGGGTCTGTAGGCACACAGGCATTGTGGCACCCGGGCCGTGCCCACCGCTCTGGTCTGTTCCAAGGGGCCACTGCCGCCGCCCACACCAACTCTCCCAGAAGCACCTACTCTCTGTGGCGTTGAAGGCCCGGTAGGTGGCTGAGAAGCCCCTGCTGCTGGTGCCCTGAGCCGTTCTGAAGAGCACAGCCAGCTGGTGGTGTGAGGAGATGAGGTGCCGGGGTGGCTCAGCCCCACAGAACCTGCTCAGAGCAGAGTGCTCCTGGGCCCAGGCTCTGAGCTGGGCCGTGGGGGGGGGTGTAGTCCCCCACATGCAGAACTTGGGGTCTGAGGAGGAGGGTGCACACTTGAGCTACCAGGACAGAGTCAGGGCGGGTTAGTGGGAGGTGAGGATGGCCCCTAAAGGTGGGAAGGGCTGGATATGGAGAGGTTTGAGGGAGGACAGCAGGAGTGAGACTTTGAAGTGAGAAAGAGCAAGTCACGGGTTAGGGATTCTGGCCTGGCAGATGGAGGATGTGGGGTGGGGGGGGGAAGGGGGGGTGGATGGTTTTCCCCTGCTCTGTACCTGCCCAGGAGGCTGGGCGGTCCTGGGTTGTGCCCTTCGTACACCTCCACGTAGTCAAACTGGCAGTCATCGTGCTCTTCCAGGCTGAAGTTGTGGAACTGGAGTTCTATGCCATGTCCCACCGGCACTGAGATATGCCAGGTACAAAGCTGGGGGGGTAGGCAACAGATGGAGACATTCCTGGGTGCTGAGCTCCAGAGGGGTTCTGTGGCCCCCAGCCACGCTGGGCAGGGCCCTAATGGAAACCCCTGCTAGGTCTTACAAAGGGCCTTTGAAGCTAGGGGCCTGTAGTACTAGCCATGTAGGAAGCTGAGACCTGAGAGTCATGGTTTGAAGCCAGTCCAGGCAGAAAAGTTTGTGAGACTTTATCTCCAAAATAATCAGCAAAAATAAAAGCTGAACTAGATGTATGACTCAAGTGGTGGCGTGCCAGCCATGAGGGAAAAAGCTTAATGAGGGATACCAGTGTGTGTGTGCGTGCGCACACACACACACACACACACACACACACACACACACACACACACACACACACACACACACACACACACACAGCCTTTTAACTTGTCTGGTTCCCAAATGAGTTTGCCCATGGGCATGCCTTAGTGCTTAATATAATATTCCCTTCCTGCCTGCTTGATCTCTGATCTCCCAAGCACAAGACAGTGTGCGCCCTCCTGCTCCTAGTCACCCTAACCTTGGTGGCTCTGCTGTCACCATGTGTGCTATACTCTACCGGCGCCCCGTGCTTACCTGTTGGACAGGGTATTGCTGTAGAGAATTGGGGGTAGAGAAAGTGCCCTGGAACCCAGTCAGGTTCCCCCCACACCCTGTGGAGAAACAGAAGGGCTCATGAGCGGCTGGAATCTAGGCCCAGCAAGGCCTCAGCGATGGTAGAGGATGCATGTAGGCCATGCCCCTAAGCAAGCAAGGTCTGGCCAGAAGAATGACCAGGCAAGGAAAAGCACTGGGAACACTGGGGTCCTGGCCCCACCTGGGGTCAGGTGCCTAAGACAGTCCCTCCCGTGGGCCTGGCAGGGCTCATACCCGAGATCTTGGCACTGCAGTTGGTCTCATCACTACCATCGGCACAGTTGGCAAAACCATCACACACTGAGTCTGGTAGCAGGCAAACGAGCTGGTCACAATGGAACTCATCCTGGACACAGCTCCCTGGGGAGGGGGGGGGGGAGACATCTGGAGTCCAACCCTGCCCCTTCCCGGAGAGTTGGGAGTCGCTGGAGCTGTTGGTGGGCATGGGAGGGTGTGTGTGGGGGGACTTGGGGAGTGGGGGAGTGAGTGGATGGGCGGCAGGCAGCTGGGACATGGTGGAAAGACACTCACCGTGTCCGGGGGCCATAGCCTGGTACCAGGCCTGGAAGCCAGATCCTTCCACACTGCTGTCTGAGACAAAGGTCGCTCGGAGGCGGCTGGCATTGGTGTTGAGTGTCGGGGGAGGCACCCTCCCACACACCCTGAAACAATCCAGGTTGAGGGTGATGGGAGCTTTAGAGTTTCCTCCAGGCTGCGCAGCCAGGTAGTGACAGAGCAGGTCCCAGGGGTCCTGTCTCTCAATTCCCTTCCAGTCTAGATTATTCTGTCTTCACAGTTCTACCCTTTAGACAGGGTGGAGTTTCTGAGGAGAGGAGGACCTACCTGAGGAGGGGCCCTTCAGGCTCTGTGAAGATTTCCAGGCGATCGAAGAGACAAGAGGCCACGCCCTCTATGCCAAGGGCTTCGATCTTGAGCTGTATGGCGTGGTCTTTGGCCACCTGGATTTGCCACACGCAGTGGGCATTGGGTGGGTAAGGGTCTGGGTAGTTGGGACTGCTGAAGAAGCCGCTTGGGCCAGGAAGAAGACCCCCGCAGGCTGCAGAGTTGGAGGTAGAGCTTAGAAGTCAAAAGGAGGGAGGTCCTTTCCCCCTCTCTCCAGCCTGGCTTTCTGGCTGCCAGAACGCCTCGGTACTCACTGGCATGGTGGCTAGGGCTGGTGTCTGCCTCCTGCTGCCCTGTCGTTGTTGGGGAAGCGGTGCTGGTGGTGGTGGTGGTGGCAGAGACAGTGTTGATGGTGGTGAGGCTCTGGGTGGGCCATGGGCTCCCAGTAGTTCCAGATAGGGGTGCAACCTGCAACTCTGGGGACAAGGGATTGAGGATGGTGATTTGGAGGTGCTGGATCCCTGGGGAGTGTGGGTGTGTGTGTGGGGGGGGACTGTTCACAGAATCCCAGTTTAAAGACCCGAGCAGTGTTGGGCACTTACGAGCGAGGATGACAGCCACCAGCAGCCCGAGCAGCAGGAGCAGCAGGCTGGTGAGCAGGAGGATACAGAGGCAGGAGAAATGGCAGTCGGGTCGCAGCCCTCGGGGACGCTGGCCTGTGGGCAGGCGGGGGGTGGGGGGAAGGTGGGGGGGGGAGTTGTTTGAGAGCCACTTCTCTTGGACATATCTCTACTGTTCCCTGGGTCCTGTCCCCACGAGTTACCATGCCAGGGAGCTTGGATGGTGCATCTACCATCCTGCTGGAAGGCTGGAGGGAGGCACGGTGGCCCTGCTTCCGGTTCAAAGGCAGGGTTGCAGAATTCATTCTGGAAGGTAGAGAGGCTTGAGGGCCAAGGACAGGTGTGTGTCTGGTGGGGGCGGGGGTCTTGGGAGTGGTGTTCTCTGTGGCCCTTACCTTGCTCAGTTCTGTGACCTCTGTGTAGAGGATGGCATCTGAGTGGTTCTTCATGGCCCAAACATCTGCATGGCTCTCTGGAGTCTCCTTGACAGCAGCCCCTCCCTGGGATCTCCCCGAGGGCTCACTCCCATCCACCAGCCCCCTACCAAAGGGGCAGCTTCTACTTCCAAAGAGGAAAGGGCTGCAAGGCTAGACCAGCAGCTCTTGGCAGACTGGCTGGCTACTGGCTGCTCAGTCCCCATCGGGGAGGGGATCAAGTGTGGAGGAATTTGCAAAGGCATGAAATGGGCCCTTAATCCAACTCAGCTGAGGATGCTGAGGTCCAGACCCCAGCGAAGGGTGGAAGTTCTTAAAGGCACAGGCAACGCCTGGGTATACGGGTGAGGAAGCTAGGTTCACAGGGGTCTGGGACTAGGGGAGCCCACTCACCAGCCCCTTATGCCTCACCCCAATGTGCTGAGCAAAGCTCCTAGGGCACTGGAAGAGAACATCAGGAGGACTCAAATGGTCTGGGAGACAGAGAGAGGAAAGAAGGTGGGGGGGTGGGTAGGACTGGTAGCTCCAAGGCTTCTGCCTTCTAAGGGCTGTGGACAAAAACAGCTGCCCACTGGTCCTCACTACTTTGGTGATGTGGCCATTTGCCAAGCCTGGGTCTTCGGAGGACCCTGTTATACCACCTATGTGACCAGAATAAGAAGAGAAGCCATTCCAGCATGAGCTAGAGTGGGGAGAATTGGCTTCCCAGCCCCAGGCCCCCAAGCCTGCAGGGGAAAGGACCGCAAGGGAGAAGTAATGTGGCAGGGTGGGGGTAGAGCTGCTGTTGGTGCTGTTTGCTTTCATGGGGTCTGCTGTAAGCCTGTACTGCCGGGATCACTTCATGCCTTTTTTTTTCTTTTTTCTTTTTGGCCAGTACTAGAGTTTGAACTCAGGGTCTTTCAACTTGCTTGCTTGGCTGGTGCTCTACCACTTGAGTCATGCCTCCAGTCCAGCTTTTTGCCAATTGTTTTGGATATGGAGTCACATGGACTGTTCTGCCTGGGCTAGTTTCATTCCTTTATTTTTTTTAAATTTTAATTTAATTTTTTGTTAGTCATGGGGCTTAAACTCTGGGCCTGGGCACTGTCCCTCAGCTCTTCAGTTCAAGGTGAGCACTTTGCCACTTGAGCCACAGTGCCACTTCCAGTTTTCTGAGTGGTTTATTGGAGATATGAGTCTCATAGCCTTTCCTGCCTGGGCTGGCTTTGAACTTTGATCTTCCGCTCTCAGCTTCCTGAGTAGCTAAGATTACAGGCGTGAGCCACCAGTGCCCAGATAGCTTCATTCCCTTAGATCTCAGCTTTGTGAAGCTAGGATTATAGGCATAAGCCACTGGTGCTTGGCTCTCTTGTCCTTTCCCCATATATGAAGCTATCCAGGAAAATCCTAGGCTGGCCCTGTGTCCTTGGGGAGAAAGGAGAGGGACTGCTAGTCAGTTTTGTATTAGTCCTGCTTACACTCAGAATCAAGCAGGGAAGAGGGTCTGAAGCAGCCCAGCATCGCTGGCTACCATTTGTGGAATGTCTTGGGCCCTGGGCAAGTGTTTCTCTTCTTCCATAACCATTTTACAAAAGACTGAAAAAAAAATGCGGAGGTGAGCTGAACATAGAACAGAACAGATCCAGTGTGTTTTTCCTATGGCAAATACTTTCACCCACAAGGTGGGGGGAGGTGTGGTACGGGAGCAGAGGGGCAGAGTGGTAGAGGGGAGAGCAAGGAGGAAGAGCCGAAGGAGAGGGTGGTTTGTGATCCCAGGTGGATCTTCTGCACCCAGGAGCGGCATCCACCCCCCCCCAGTTGCTCTCCATCTTCCTCACTGGGGACTGCTTTCCATCTAGGGCTCATGCCTCTCCCTGGAGTCTAGTAGCGCTTGGTTTTGAGGGAAAGCCTTTTGCATAGCTTCAAGGACTCCCCCCCTCCCAGTACTGTGTGCTTTAATACAGGAGGTCCCAGGTTGCATCCCAAACACCAAACAAATCCCCCAAAGCCCAATTGCAGCAAAGTGGGTATCTGTTGGGTACCTACTGTGTGCCATACTGTTATTGTGTATGTGTGTGCCAGTCCTGGGGCTTGAACTTAGGGCCTGGGCGCTGCCCCTGAGCTTCTTTTTGCTCAAGGCTGGTGCTCTACCACTAAGCCACTCATAACTCTGAGTTGGTAGTTATGTTCCAATCACAGATGAGCAGGCCGAGGCTCAGAGAAGTAATCTCGGGTTTAATTCCTGGCTGCTCTCTGCTGTCTTTGGCTTCCTGCACAGGCACTTGCTTGTGCCTGGGAGGGTTTGAAGGGTCAGGACATTCATTCAGAGGTGTCCAGCTCAGCTTGACCTACTACGGCACAGGTAGCTAGCTCATGTGGGTCTTTTGGGTATATGAATGTCACATTGCTATTCAGCTGGGTTCCTAATAGGTGCAGGGTGGGAAAATTCTGCAGAACGTCTTGCACAAGGCTGGTGATGAAGCAGTTAGAAACAGCGCTCAGATGGAAAGAGAACCAACTCCATCCAGCCTTTGCCTCTCCCAGGCCCGGCGGCCATGAGCTCAGCATCCTCACTGACAAAACCAGTGCAGGATGGACAAGGGCACGGCTGTGGTTCTAGCTCTGAAGCTTTAGAGGCTGAAACATGAATTCTCTGAGCACTGATCACTCAAAATAGCAGATCTTCAAATGGGAACAAGGGAGCCGTGGATGTGTGAGTCTCCTCTTGAACATGTAATTTGGAGGAAAAATGACTTAGAATGCACACAACTGAGCCAAGGCCTTCAGGACTCACTAGACCTAGCCAATTTGTGGATGAGGCACAGAGGCCCCTGGAGGGGGAGGTTCTAGTTCAAGGTTATACAAGAGAAACTGTGAGTTGAGGGAGCACCTCCTCCCCGGGCAAGGCCCTCAGGAATGCCAGCACCAAGGAGAGAAGAAATCCAAGTTGCTAGGAGACAAAGAACCCTGAGGACAGATCTGCTTCTGTTTGAGGGTCCGTGTTGCACCTTGGCCTGTTGCCCAGGCGGTTAGAAAGCACCACAGGTTAAGAACCGAAGGGAGAGCTGGGAGCAAGAGTGCCAGGCCTGTGTTGAGTCCCCGTTACCATATTCCCCATGAGACAAAAATGTACAAGAACTTCTACTGCCAGCACAAAACGAATCTGAGGCATTAGAACACTCGGCTCCAAGCTTATTCCATTCTGAAGAGGTTTTGTTCATCTTAGGCGTGTGGGAAATAATTGGCTTTTAAAATCATATCCTGAAGCCGGGTGCTGGTGGCTCACACCGGTAATCCTAGCTACTCAGAAGGCTGAGATCTGAGGATTGCAGTTCAAAGCCAGCCCAGGCAGGAAAGTCCGTGGGATTCTTTATCTTCAATAAACCACTCAGAAAATGGGAAGTGGTCCTGTGGCTCACGTAGAGCACTCCCCTTGAGCTGAAGAGCTCAAAAGGGACAGCACGCAGGCCCAGAGTTCAAGGCCCACGCACGACCAAAAAGAAAAAAAAGTCATATCCTGAAATGTACTCATTACCTGACTTATGTAACTGTAACTCCTCTGTACATCACCTTTACAATAACAATTTAAAAAAAAATCTCAAATAATCATATCCTGGTTCAGGTCCTTCCTGGGGTGGGCAGGGAAGTGTGAGTCCCTCAGTAACAGTCACAGTGATGGTGTTACCACTTTCAATCCTTCTCCACTCTCAGGAAATATCCAGAAAAATGCCCCCGTGATTGACCCATCCACGAGGAGAGTCACACAACCCACAGGTCTTAAATCACAGCTGGTAGGTTTCTGGCTCAGTGAGGATAGGAGAGATTTGCCTTGATTTTTCAAGTATTCACAGCTGTGAAGGCAAGCAGACTCCCTCTCAATGCTAGGCTTAGCTGGAGACCTCAGCTTCTTGGGTCTAAGATCAGCAGGAGGAATGGTAGCTGGGCAGTGCTATTCAGTGTCCCTGAATGCCCCGGTGAGCATGTAGGGGTTAAAGCTGAAGAGCTGAAGTCTTCAAACAAGTTCTTTAGTAGATAGAGGTTATCAATCAGTGGCGGAGCACTTACCCAGAATGCATAGGCTCTGAGTTTGATCTCCAGCACCACAAAAACCAAATACTCCCAAACCCAAACACAAGCCACCAGAAAAACTCCTTAGGGGATTAGACCTTTATCACAGATAGCTGTTCTTAAGTCTTGTTGAAAAGCTGAGACTTTTTTTTTTTTTTTTGCCAGTCCTGGGGCTTGAATTCAGGGCCTGGGCACTGTCCCTGACTTCTTTTGCTCAAGGCTAGCACTCTACCACTTGAGCCACAGCACCACCTCCGGCTTTGTGGTACTGAGGAATTGAACCCAGGGCCTCAAGCATGCAAGGCAAGCACTCTACCACTGAGCCACCTTCCCAGTCCCCCAGCTGAGACTTTTTAATCAAGAGCCAGGCCCCTGCCATGCCTCCTCCAAGACCCCAGGAGCCCGAGGCCTGGGCTTGCCCCCACAGCTGTGCACCAGCACCCCGGTGTTTCAGCAAAACAGCACATCACCCAAGCCAGTAGTAGTTCAAAATGACCCTGATTATACAAAAGTCCCCACACCAAGCAGCGATGTCAGCATTCTCAGGTATGAAATCTCAGAATATACTGGAATTTATCTCTAGAATATATTAGAATGTGGGACATGACCTATCACCCTTCTAATAAGGCTATATAAACAATCGTGAGTTTGAGAAGAAAATCATGCCTGATGTGTATAACATTTCAACTTCTTACCAGAAGTGAAATGTCTAAGAACAAGTAGGCAACTTTTGCCAGAACTTAGCATTAGCAGGCTGAAGCAAAAAAAATATGGCCTTTGCTCTGCTGGGGACCCTTTGCAGGCTTGACCTCCTCCCAAATCAAGACTCCACCACTTGCCATCTTCTTCCTCAAAGCTACTATTTATTCTGTACAAGGTTCCACTGTACATCAGACATTCTTCTACCCTTGCTTACACAGTAAACAAGTGTACACCAGCCCTTGGGCTCAGGTTCACAGGTCTTCCCTAGAGAAGGGTGTCAGGCCAGGTAAACTCAGGGATCTTTCTCTGGTGCCTCTGCCTGGGAGCAGGGGCCCTCCAGGCTGTGAAGGCACAAGCCAGGCCCGGCTGTGGGGATGTGCGGAGCACACTGTGCTCCACGCCTTAATGCCCGACAGCTTTGCTCTCTGGGACAGCACGGAGTTCTAAGGACTCAGGGCAAAAAATAGCAAGCCCATGGAAAGATGATGGAGGCAAGATGTCCTCAGACCCCAGGCTCCAGCTCCCAGGGAAGGACTAAAGACCAATGCCAAGAGGAGCGTGAGTGAGGCGCGGCACGGGCATCCCTGAGAAACTCAGTCCAGAGGACCTGTGTCTAGGCGGCTCTGAGAAGGGGCGGGCAGGGAGCCTAGGGGAGAGGGGACTAAAGAGAATAAATTAAAGGTGAGAGCAGCTCTGGGGACTGGGGCTTGTGCTGGGGAGTAGACCAGGGGAGGACGAGGAGTTGGGCAGGAAGAACTTGATACACTATCTTAAGAAATCTCCTTCTGTCCATTTCCCTTTACCTCACTGCATTGTACAAAGTGCCCGGGGCGGAGGGGAGGGCCCTCCTTGCCCACAGGCTCAAACATGGCACTGGGGAAATGGGAGAGGCTGAGGGATATCTCAGGGAGGGGCAGTTACCCCCTGGTCCCCAAATGCTATAAGGCACAATTCTTGGAGGCAACTAGATTCCATCCAAAACATTAAAATAACAAAAACAAAAGCAAAAAAAAAAAGAATCCCAAACCACCCCAAAACAAAGAACTTTTCCATCCCAGGTCTACTGTGGCTATGTTTGGGCCTGGCCAACACCCACCTAGCCACCACAGGGGCGAGCATGAACAGCATTGTACTTGAATTAAAAAGAAAAACGAGTCAGCCCCAGCTGTGAAGAGGTGTGAAGTCGAGCATCTCCAGTTCGTTCGTTACAGTAATTAAGAAAAAAGTTGGGCTTCTAAAAACCCAAGCCAGCTTTTGTCAAAAGACGTGCCCTAATCTGTGCCCCTGGACTTAGCAGCCTAACGAGGGCTCTTGGCTCATGGGTGGACTGATGAGCAGGTACATGCAGACACTGGGGTCCTCCATCTTGCGATCCAGGCAGCGATGCTCCCCGCGGGCTCCAGAGGGCGCTGTCTTCCCAGAAGGCGTGGGGGCTGGAGAGGGCAGCAGGTGGATGATGATCCTCTCCCCACAGACTGTTGTTGTGACACACAGGAAAAAACCACAAGCTTAATGCAAACAAGAGAAGCCGAGGGAGTAACTGTGCCGACTCCAGTCTCTGTGTCCAGTCCATCTTCCCTGCCAGGCCTGGCTCGGGGCACCTGGCTCCTTTCGCTCCAGACCTTGACCAGGCTGCATCAACTCCTGCTCGGCAGCTTTATTTTAATTTATTTTCTCTTATTTGTCAGGATTTTGTGTGTGTATGTTGGTTTTTTTTTTGTGGTTTTCTTTTTTGTCTTTTTAAAAAACAGAAAAGGGGCCACCACAGGGAGGGGGAGGGGAGCAGCGCCTCACTGCTACATTCGGGAGGGTGGACTGGCCAGTTCATAGAAGAGCAAGTAGGCGTCGCTGGTGCGCACTTGGCTGGAGGACATTGGTGTGACACTGTGGAGAGATGGACAGGTGAGAGCCCTGTGAGGCAGGCTGGGGACACAGGGAATGCTAGGAGGGAGGGCCCATCCCTCACGTCTCTGTGGTCCACCCAACACTAGCCTCGGCCTTTCAAGCTTCTGAGTGGGCCGCTCCTCCTGGGTGCATGCATTCATTCATTCATTCATTCTTTCTTTCTTTCTTTGCTGGTCCTGGGGCGTGAACTCGGGGCCTGGGTGCTGTCCCTGAGCTTCTCTGTGCTCTACCCACTTGAGCCACTTTCCAATTTTTTTTTTTTTTTTTCTGAGTAGTTTATTGGAGATAACAGTCTCATGGACTTTCCTGCCTGGGCTGGCTTTACACCTCGATCCTCAGACCTCAGCCTTCTGAGTAGCTAGGATTACATGTGTGAGTCACTGGTGCCTGGTTTCCCTGACTCTTTTTGTCCATTCAAGATGGAAGCCCCGTAGATGAGTGAGGTACAGGTGGCCAGCCAGCCACGAGCCCCCGGTGGAGCTGTCTCTCACCTGGAGTCATTGAAAGTGTGCCATTCGCCTGTCGCTGGGCTTCGGCAGTAGGCTGTGTAGTGGCCGCCCATGGTGGTTCCCGAGTGATTGGACACAGCATACAGGTTGTAAACAGCATGGTCTGTGGAGGGAACAGGCATGGAGCCCTGGAGGTCTTTCTTGGCCCCACACTGCCTCCCGTCCGCCTCCCCTTCCTCACCTCTACCGACTCACGCTAGCAACCTCGTTTCTACCTGCTTGTGTCTGACACACTCGGGCCTGCTCAGAGATACTCACTGGTGTTTTCTGAGGCGAATTCTCTCAAGTCCAGGTCTCGTAGTGGGAAATTCACAAATGTTGTGAGCTTGCTGGTTCGTAGCCTGGACTCTGAGAATCGTTTCAGGTCTGGGGGTGTTGAGTCAAGGGCAATGCAACAGGAACAAAGTGGAGGGATCAAATTCTACACCGGAAACTGAACTTTTCTGGGAGAAGCTGAACAGCAAAGAACATGAGCCAGTCCCCACTGCTGCTCTCATCTTTTGGTCAGTCTCTGGTCCTCAGTTACCCTCCAAATCAGGTCCCTGCCCTGAAGGACTTAAGGATACGGAGCACCAAGATCTTTGGGAACCTCTGGATGGAGAACTTCTTTATACATCGTTTTCTGGCTCGGCAGCGACAGCAGGTCTGAAAGACAAGATAAATGGGGCTAGAAAGAAGTCAACGGAGCCAATGAAGCCAGGTGCTAGTGGCTCATGCCTGCCATCCTTGCTGCTCAGGAAGCTGAGATCTGAGGAACTGGGTTCGAAGCCAGCCCAGGCAGGTAAATCTGAGACTCTCAGCTCCACTTAACCACCAAAAAGCTAGAGGTAGAGGTATGGCTTTAGTGTCAGAGCCCCAGCCTTGAGTGAAAAAGCTAAAAGGGCAATGTCTAGGCCCTCAGTTCAAGCCCTAGTACCAGCAGCATGTGCGCACACATGCGTACACACACACACACACACACACACACACACACACACAAAACGCAAAGTCAATAGGTCAAGCTTGTAACTCCTCAGCTGGACATTCCCCAAAGCAGTCCCATGGAAATACGTTCTAGCCATTTCCAGAGAAGGACTTACCGGCTTCTCATCGCCATCGAGCACATCCTCTTTGGTGAAGAGCCTCATGCAGTCCATTAATGTCACCTCAGGATAGCCTCGCTGGAAAGGAAGGGGTTAGCGGTGCGTGAGGCGGAACGACGGGAGAAGGGGCTCCGGAGGGTGGCTGCAGTGGTGCGTACCTTAGCAATGGGCAGTGAGAGGTCCCAGAAGGGGTCAAAGACTGTCGAACAGTAGCCACAGTCCGTGCACGTCAGGGAGCTCTTCAGCTGCCCAACAAAGAGATCTGGGAAAAGAAAGCCAGGAGATGCTGACACAGGAGGATGAGCACCGGGTCTCCCTTCTACAGCTCCTGCCTGGTTTACGGCACACTGGCCCATAGAGAGTTCCCTGAGAGAAGAGTCTTCAGGGCTTTGCATGCTCTGCTCAGGCAAAAACAGTGAAAGCTGGCATTCCGTCTGTCCATGCACTTACCCCCAATCCGGCTGTCTTCCCGCTCTAGGTATTTTCTCCACATCTGCCGCCCTTTTTCATCATCACTGGGAATCAGAGACAGGAAATCAATTGGGTCAGAACTAAAACTATGGCCAGTTTAAGGGTCTATCATTCTAGTTCTTTAATCTCTTGCCCAAATTGGAACTCCCAACAAAGTAGGTAAAACTCAAGTTCCTTGCACTCACGGGAGGTGATCGAGGTTCTCAGGATTGGACTTCGGCCTCACGGTGACCCGGTTCACCTCATTGTGGAGCCCGTCCAGAAGAAAGCGAAGGAACTCCTGAGCATCCTGCTGACTGAACCCAAAGAAGTAGTAAGCAGAATATTTGTACTGAGACCCTGCTCATGCTGCTGTGTACCCTGAAAAGGACATACATGTATGCAAGGCCCTTACTTATAGCCAACGAAGCGTGGTGCATATCTCTGGATCTGGGTCTTAAACTCAGATGGGCTCACCACATCATTGGGGGATGAAGTCCATATGGTCTGAATTAGTTTTGCAAACTCTGTTGGAAGAAGAGATCACAGAGAGGGTGTGGAGGAGAGGTAAGATAGTGTCTACAGAAACTCTGGCACACATCTGAAGTCCTAGCACTCAGAAGAATGAGGCCAGATGATCTTGAGCTCAAGGCCACCTTGGACTATGTAGCTAGATCCTGTCTTAGAAAATAATAACCAAATCTCCCTGAACCTAGAATCCCAACAAGAAGTAGGCAGAGAAAGAAAACCAGGCACATGTACATGCAGAATGGAAGCGGGGCTGGGTATGCAGCTCAGCAGACGGTGTGTGTAGCACATGAAACCCTGGACTTATCCCCAGGACCTCAAACCACCACATCACAATCCCATGACCCCCCACAACTAGGAAGCAGAGACCACCGAAATAAAGTGTTGAGGGGGAGCAGGGCTGTGTCCACTCAGGTCCCTCACCTTCCATGAGGGCTGTGTGTGCGTTGCTGGTGTGGCTGAGGTCCCGCATGTAGAGCCTCTGGAGGCAATAATCTCTCAGCTCCCGTGTGTTGCTTAGACACTGCAGAATCGAGTTCATGAAGCACTGCAAGACACCATCGGACCAGCAGTGGGTGCCACCGGCCTCTGTGTTGGGAAGCCTGGTCCCCAGCCAAGGTGGGGCTGGATGTGGTACAGGTTTTAGGAGGTGGAGCCTGATGGGAGGCCTCTAGGCACTGAGAGAATGTGCCCTTGAAGGGGTTCCTGGAGCCCCAGTCCCTCCCTTTATCATGCTCCCATGAACTTCTGCCACGATGAACTACCTCACTACAATGGAAACCTCACTATAGTTGAAACCTCCGAAGCAGAATCAAGTGTGCTGATTATTCTTAGAAGGTAATTTACCTCATCTATTTGTTATAGGGGTGGAAAGCTGACGAACACCATAGGGGAGATGCACACAACCCCGCCCCCCGACATTTCCTTTAGTGAGGACCAAAGGCCCCATTTCCAGTTCATCTACTGCAGTTCCTCTCATGAACCCTCTTCACAGCCTCAGGTTCCTCTTTTCCTAAGTGTGACATGAGGCCAAGCTCTACGATGGGCCCAGGTGATGTAATTGGTTATTTACTACAGAGGTGTGCAAAAGGGTGGACAGAGGGGATGGGAAGTGATGCGAATCCTGGAGGAGGATGATCCAGGAGATGAGCATGCTGGGAGTTATACGGCCAACCTCCTTTTAGCAGTACTTCCTGTTGGGGGATGGGTGAGGCAGAGCCCAGCAATTCTGTGAAGCACCAGCCAGGAGGGACAGGTACTAACTGCCCTAGAGGGTCAGAAGTCAGCTGGAGGTGGGAGACTGGTTAGATCCTTCAGTCAGGGGTGTGGGGGATGGCCTCAGGAAAGGAGTGAGAAGAACTTACCGTGTTCCCAAGGTTTCGAAGACCAGCCAGACCCTGGGCACTCTTAGAATTCTGAAAGCAAGAATAGGTGGCAGGTAAGCATACGGCAGAGGCTGGCCTGGCTAGACTCACATGTAACATTCTGCCACCGGGGCCATGGGCAGGAGGCAGCCATACTCTCTCTTCTACCCAGTCTTTGTACCAGGGAAGAAAGAGAACTGAGAACTGCTTTGTATTTCAACTCAGCCCCAAATACTCTTCAGGGCTTTGTTTTCTTGTGTTAACCATGTGTTTCCCCTTATGTCTTTGTTACTCTTCATTCTCTGCTACAGTGAATACTGGAGATTAGAACGAGGAATGGTACTATCTGGGTACATATCTGACTCCAAGCTACAGAAAATTTCAAGTCCCAAATCCAGACATTATATCAAATGACCTATATTTTTAGTACAAATTCAACACATAAAGCAGCTATAATAATAGGCACCTCAAGGAGCTTATGAAAAGTTAAATGATCACACACCCAGATTCAGTTTCCATCTTCTGCCGGGAAAAACTCAAGCTTGCCTGCTGTTCTGAACTGCCAGAGACAGGTGGAATTCCTTCCAGCTGACCTCAGCTCCAGCGGCTGATTAAGAGCTGAGAGAATCCTCCCTGCCTGGCTCAGGTTTCAACATCCTGACCAGCCACTGGCTGGGAATCCCTGCGAGGGCAGATTGCACCAAGCCAAAGCACCTGGCTGAGGTGCCACTGCCACTCTGCATGGTGTGGAGGCTGAGAGGGGGCTGGAGAGAGAACAGATGCTAGATCTGGACTCTGAGTACTGAGTCAAGGCCTTTTGGCTAATACTGATCACTCTCAGGAGTCAGAAAAGCTTCAGGCCCAAAGGGTTAAAGAAACAGTTTGGCAGAGAAATCTGCCACCCCGTGTTCTCAGGAAGGAGATTTGGGTGCAGGCAACTCTGGAGCAACACTGGCTGGGGCATGCGTGGGGCCAGCTCAACCCTGATCAGAACAGGAGCCTGAAATAACTCAGCTAAAATTACTCATGCCGTGTGCTGACAGCCTCCATAGGCTGTCAGCTCAAAGCCCAGGAGATTGTCAGCTGGGGGGGGGGGGGGGGGAGGAGGGGGAAGGAGCAGGCCGAAGGAGGGCTTTTCTCAACCACTGCTTTGCCCATCCCATGGTAACAGGATCCCTTCCCTGGCTAGTTGACAGGTCCAGCACTAACAGGTAGGAGTAGGAAACATACCCAGAAAAGAGACCTGGCTTACACCTGCTGCTGGACAGAAAGCCCGCTGTAGGTGCCTGCTAGAGCGAGCAGTGTAGGGTCCCCCAAGACCCAACACAATGTGAATCTTATCCTACGGTCTAAACCCCAATAGGTCCAGTGAGAGGACCACCACAGAGAGAATTCCCAGGAATTTATCTCTGGTGAACCCGTAAAAGACTTCCCCATGGTCCAACAAAAAATGCTGCAGAAATCTCCATGCTGCCCATTTGGAACCAACAGTTAAAGTGTGCCCACACAGAATGCCCACTTACACCTATTTTTGGCAGTGCTTTATTGGTTCTTACCCCCTGTTCCTCAGCCTACATCTGTCTGAACAGACTGTAGATGTAAAGTATTTCACCACGGGGGACCATGCCCACCAAAGCGGACCCTGAGCTAACGTCTCAGTGCCAGTGGGGGCGGGGACGGGGAGATGGGGTTCATCTGTCTGCAGAGGCGCACCTGGATTCACTCGGACCCAGCAGTGTAGGGATCAAGAAGGGCCCCCTCTTCCCCAGGCTCTTTCCTGGGGCTACTTTACACCTTCTACTGGTCTAGGGGTGGGGAGAAGGAGAGGATTGCGACCTCCTGTCAATTTCAGTGTTTTTTTTTTTAGGTCGAGAGTTATGTTTTGTCTACATTTTCCTGAGCTCAAAACAACATACTCTTTTCTGCGGGCTCTATGAAGAAAACAGGGGGGTGGGAGAGAGGGGAGAGAGGAGAGGGGAGAGCTAGCTTGCTCAGCCAGATAGTCTTCTGCCATGAATAGGAAATCAGGAGCTCCAGGGAAAGTCAGCACTTTCCATTCCAGAGAGGAACAAAATGTCCCAGGAGTGACCTTTCTTACAGGGCAAACAATTCTACCTCCGAGCTGGCAGGGAGAGAGCAAGGCTAGAACTGGAGGAGGTGGGACCCGGGCGGGCACAGCCAATCGCTCACTGGAAAGCAGAAGGAAATGACCCCAGCTGCTGGACTGTGGCTCAGGTGCAAAGAGTTGAAAAAGTTTGAATCTGGCACTTCCTAACCCTTGGCCACGGCAAAACTACAGCCGTCTAAGAACCAAGCAGGGTTCTAGAGGGCAGCTGCCACCTTTCAAAGAGCTGTCCCTGGTTAACTGCGGAGGTGGCATCTGGGAATGGGACCGCAAGCGCAAGGCCATCTGAGGTGGCCATGCTGCAGGCTACAGACCCCGGTCCAGGCCTTTCCTGCCCGATTCACCGGCACCACGAGGGTCAGCCATGTGTCCTGGCTGCAGCCAAGGAGCGTAGTGTGGCCCTGGCACGGGGCAGGGCGCGCACTGCCAACGGGAACTGGTGCCTGTTACATAAGACCTGTCAAACGCGGGTCCCTGCTCCCTTCCCAAGGGGACAGCGGCCAGCTTCGGCCTGGCCATCACTCTGGGAGCTGCTTCCCGGGAGGACCCCCTTCCCGCCCCCCCCCCCCCCCGGTTCCCCATCCACCCGGCGGCGCAGCTGCCGAGGGCAGAGGACCGAAGGAAAGCCACCCTCCCTCACCTGTCTGCAACTCCTCTGCCCTTCACAGGGTCAAAGGGCCCCCGGCACCGACCCGTGGGAAGAGACCCCTTTGGAGACCTGAGGAGAGGCGCCCCCGACCCCCGGGGCAGCCCTCCCCGGCGGGGATCTGGCCTTGGAAGGGTGACCCTCGGGGGCCGCGGGCTGCGCGCGCCAGCCCGGTCAAGGTTACACTTTGCCCGCACCTGTCCCGATGGGTGCCCGAGAGCCACCTGGTGCCCGGGATGCGGAGCGGGGGCTGAGCGGGGCCCGGGCCGGGGGACACCAGCCGGGGAGGGGGCGGAGCACGCCTGCGGCCACGGGGGGGGGGGGTGTGGGACGTTCCTGCCCGGAGACCCCCGAGCAGGGCGGGGGGGTCGTCCCTCGCCGGGGCACCCCGCGAGGAGGCAGGACCCCAGACCCTCGGCGTCGGGAGGGGACCCCGGGAAGACAGCCCGCGTACCTTGGCTTTGTTGAGCAGAAGCCCCACGAAGGTGGACAGCAGCAGGGACGGGGAGAGGGGGGAGCGCGGCCGGAGCTCCTTGGCGAGGGCGGGGAAGGGGGCGGCGGGGGGCTCCTCGGGCAGGGTCACGGTGTACGAGGTGCGCATGCTGGGGGGCGGGCAGGGGGCTCGGCCCCACGCTCAACGCTTGGCCGAAGGGGGCGCAAGGACGTCCCCGCGCCGTGCCACAGCCCGGACACCGAGGCCGGCGAGGCCGCCACCGGACACCGTCCGCGGCCGTAACCGTTACTGCGGGGCCGATCGCACCCTCGTCCGCCTCAACCTCCCCACGGCGCGCGTCCAACCGCCCCAGCCCGGCTCTCGCGCTCCGAACGACGGGCAGCCTCGCGGGCGTCTGGAGCCGCGCGACGTCAGCGCAGGGGCGTGGCCTGGCGCCAAGCCCCGCCCCGCCCCGCCCCCGGGCGGCCGCACGCGGACCTGAGCGAGGCCGCCAGCCCGCTGCCCCGTGCGTCCTACCCGGTGGCCGTTCCCGGGCGCCCCGGGTCTGCTCGTCCCCTCGGAGCTCTGCCCCGCCCCAGAGGGTGGCAGGAGGGCCCAGGCCGGGGCCGGCCTCGGTGTGGGATTCTCTTTTGGGGGACCCCGCAGTATCTCGGGGGTCCGCTGAGCAGGCCTCCTTCAAGGCTGGTATCAGCCAGGAGAGGGCCGCTCCTCATCGGCGGGGGGTGGGGGGGGCTGAACCCTTGGGGATCCAATGTCTTCTTTCCAGGGGACCCCCGACCCTCTGGCCGGCGCGCATGCTCACTGTCCGCGGGGGGGGGGGCGGTGGTCCCGGATGGAGACCCCGGAGGCTGAGGTCCCCCCGCGGGCCTAGTCGGGCCCACTATCAAAACGGAGGTACGATAGGTCCTTGGCCTTCGGGGCTCCAGGAAAGAACTTTTTTCTGGTCCCTGGGAATTGCTCAACCCGGCCTCTCCGAGGTGGCGCGGGGTGGGGGGGAGGATGCTGCCGGGTCCCCGCGGGGCGCGGGGCGCGGGGCGGGCCCGGGGGCCGGCGGGGGGCTCTTTCCCACGCCCCGCCCCCCTCCCCGCGTTGCGCGCCGAGCCATCTGCGGGGAGAAAGTTTCTGGTTGGGAAGCGTGGCAGGCTATTTTTAGCTCGTATTTTTAGCGTTTAAAAATACTCGGCGAGGCGGCAGCGTGTGCCGTTACTCATCTGCGGGCTCCTTCTGTTCCTCCCGGCGTGCTCATCCCCGCAGCGCACACGCGCCCCGCGCACACGACCACGGCCGCACGGACGCGTGTGGGGCCCGGACTCGAGGCCACCCACCCCCGGGGCAGCGGCTTGGCGCTGCGGGGAGGGGGCAGGGCCTGCGCCCCCCCCCCCCGCGCCCCTCCAAGGGCCGTATGGGCATTTATAACACTGCACGTTTATGCGGCTCCTAGGTTTTCTGGGTGTCCAGTCCTGCCTGAGGTTGCTTTGGCAGGGACCAAATGGTTCCCCCCTCACCCCAGGGGAGGCATCCCCCACCTGTGTCTGGCGATTCTTGAGGTCAGGTTATGCTAGAGGCATCATCCGACCCTAGGCCCGAAGCCTGGAACCAGGGCAGTAACGTTTGCATTTTTATTTTTAAAAGAAACTTCCTGCTTTGCAGCCACATGGCTCCCAGCGCTACGGCACTCGGCTACAGTGCTCACACTCCACCCTGTATCTTGCCCTTGCCCCTTGATTATTCTTTGAACTCAGGGCCTCCTGCTTTCTATTTCTAGGTAGACACTATCATATGAACCATATCCCCAGGCCCCTCCCCCCTCCCAGCCACCCCTCTTC